CTCCGCTCCTCCCCCCCCCCCCCCCCCCCCTTGGTTCTAAGGAGAGAGTCTAATACCAAACTGACATGTGGGCTTCCACCTGAAACTATCAAACAGTCATCCTGAAAATTCCTGAGTTCTAGCATTCCTTTTCCTTCTTCCTAGATTTGTAAACTTTTCATTCATCTGTCAGTGTTTATCCCATTTGATATATTTGTGGATCTTCGATGGAGTGCTCACTCTGGGGGGTTTGTTGATCCGTAAATTGTTGAGCAGTCTCAGCATGCAGCACAACTTGATCATGACGCTCCTCCAGGGCTTGATTACCCTCTTCTCCCGCGATAGGTGATTCCAAAACACATTGGCAAGCATCCGTTACAACCAAATTCGTAGTATTTATGATCTGAGGAAGACTATCTCAACAACAGTGGGAAGTAGCTGCGGAACTGGTTGATGAGGAATAGCCTGATGAGACAAATTTTCATTCAACATTTATGGAAGATCTTCAGTTTCTGCTATACTTTCCTTCACTTGGGTGTTGTTAGGAATTGCAGAATCCAAATGCACAGGAAGGTTGGATCTCAAATGTGGATGAAGCCTAAAACATTTGGCATGTGTGTGACCAATCAGTTTACAATGATTACAGTAAGAGAGAGAGAGAGGACTAAAAAGAAATGAAGAATGATAGGAAAGAATGTATAAGAAAGGAAAACATGACTCTTTCTGTCCATCCCCGTGATTGCGAAATCCCGCAGTACTTGGCAGCTACAGTACGAATTCCGTGTCATAAAGACTTATAATTAGTAGAATAAAAATTGAGTGTATGATATATAATTTTATTGGGTGTAATGTTAATAATCATCATTCAACATTTTTAGAAGTTAAGAAGATACACAGGTGTGAAAGATTTGTGTAGCATAGATGACAATATAACTTCTAGTGCTAATATTAGGTGATTAAATTAGAAAACCTTCTCGAAGTATTTAGGCGAAGAGGATATCATTGAGAGGCTTAAAGGTAAATTTATGTAACCTTAATTAAGTTGGTGATGGTGTATAGATTTGAATCTTTGTTGAAAAGAATCATTGGTATCTAGTAAAAATGAGAATGTTAATTTGGATGTGTGACAAAACTAGACAAGATAAAGAAAGGTTTACCTGCATAACACATTATTTTTGTATTTACATATCTAATAGCTAAACTTTAATTTTTATATTCATAACACTTTACATGTGCATGAAAGTTGTTATTTCACTTTATAAAGTTGGTAATAGTGGTAATTTTGATGTGATGATGAATGATTGAAGTGTTGTAAATGTAAAAGTCAAAGTGTAGGTGCTTGATATGTTATTTCATAAGAATTTTGTGGTATGTATTTAAATGCCCCAAATTAAATTAATGAATAGTTATATTAGGTAAAAGTTTGGAATTGTATTTATTGAAACCAAGGTTACAGAAAATAAAGTTAAATGGTTTGGATAAGCAAAATAAATGATAGAAACAACCCATCGTTGAATCCCAAGTTATCTATGAACACAACGCCTAGGCTGGAACACAAAAGGCTGGAGTGTAAGAGAAACAAGAAGAAAGTGAGCAAGAGGGAGCTAAACAGTGAATGGCCTTCTTATGTCCTACGTTAGTATAATTGTCTATCCCTTATTTATAGATTTTGGGCTGTTCTTGATTTTATTACAAGATGTGACAAAATATAATGAAAAATACATGAAAGTACATATCAGCATATGAGACCATGTTGCATCCCATGTCTCCGTATATGGCGGGGCTATGTTGTCTTCTATGGCTTGTGCGGACATGCCGTCTCTTGTAGCTTGTATGGAGTCTCGGATGCAAGGGAGAGTTGTGAAAAGAGGCTCAACTCAGTAACTCATCGCGCTCAAGTTGGTTGTTGAGCGAACCCCTTGCCCGAATTAGCGAGTTAGAAGTATCTAAGGCAAGCTGAGTTGAGTTTGCCAAATTACTTCCTGGAATGCATCCGATCCTAACGCATTTGTGGGTCTTGCTTGCGAGTTATCTAGTCATGCGTATGATGCAGGTCATTTGAGTGTACAACCGTGTTAAATACAAAAACAATAAGAAGCATTTTTTTTCTCAATAAGTGGGGTCGATTGCATGAATCTTTTTTTCTCTTTTGTGTCTCATTAAGTGTCAATGCAAGCATGTTAAATAAGTTGATAAAATTAATTTTGATAAAATTAATCTTGGATTTGAAAAGAAAAGGGATGGGCCTTGGTTACATGGATAATAGTTCATTTTTATACTTGAAGAATAGATTTTCTACCTTAGATAACACTCAAAATGAGCAATTAAAAAATAATGATTCATATTGTTGATTTGACACGCCAAAATTTACCGCGAAGTAAGTTGGTCCACAATGCAAGTAAACGTGTCAAGTAATAATGTGCTTAAAGAGTATCGTGTGTCGATCTCATGAGGAAAGAGCTAAGAACTTATCTGATGGACGAATCTCTAGTTTACTAAACTCTTAAACATAGTATAGTTTAATCAAATAGGAGATGATTTCCTAAAATTCTACTTAAAAGCAAAAACAAAAGATTTTGCGTTAAAAAAAAATGGAAAACAACAGTAAATAAATTTTACTATTCTTCAAGGTATGTGAGGCTCGCGCCTCTGTGACTTCATCAATGTGGCGATTTATGGTTTTTCTAGACTTTACTTTGTGTGATTATTGTCAACAAGGATATAAAGTCCTTATGTCTATGTCTAGGTCAAAAGAAGACTAGGATCTATGAAGATGAGGCTTTCTCAATCTCTATGGCATCTCGTGGATTTATTGTGATCCTCTTTCTAGGTTGCAAAGCCCGGATAAAATATGTCTATTATTATCCAGATTATGTGGTTAACCATTTCATTTCTTTGTGCAACAAGTAGGAGTCATAGATCACGAAATATGTTAACATCCTAATTGATTTTATCAGGAGTAATTGATAATATATGGTTAACATAACAACGAAAAGTCTTGATTTCTCAGGAAAACGATAAAAAGAAAGAAATCATATGAGAAAATCACAAAACCACATCCCATAAGCACAGAGGTGCGAAAAAGAGTTTAGTTACGCATGTTAGAAAGAACACCGAAAATACATCCATCAAAGCCATTTTTGCAAGAAAAACTGAAAAGTGAAATATTTTCAAAACGATTGGTTCTCTCGTCAACAGCAGCCAACTTCTCTCTCATACAATAACCTCTCCGAAAACATAAAAAAATACAAAGAGAGAAAGGTAGAAGCCTCTTCAATTTTGGTGTCCAAGATGCCTCCTTTAAAGATCCAATAAAAATCAGCATGAAACAATCTTCAAAATGAGATTTGTCGGTCTGTCAGCGTGACCACACCCGAGACCGGCGTGGTCCCGAAACTGGTGTGGTCACGCTAGTTTTGGCAAGGTTATGTCGAACAACAACTTTCACTTGTTTTGACTCTGTTTTGCGTGTTTGACACATTTAATCTGCAAAATGGCACAAAAAACCTTCCACAAGCATAAAATCATGATAAAAGAGATGAAATAATAAGTAAAAGAATGATTACATGCAGGTAAAATCACATAACATTGACTGTGTCATTGACCCCAAAATCGGTATAAAGCTGGTGTTGATGATGATGATGATGGGAGGTTTGGGCTATTATCACTCAATTGGAGTAAAGGGAGAAAGACTCATAAAGCTAACCTCTAGTGTTGAGTTATGGTTAATTGTGATTATTTGAAGTACTTAATTATATTTGATATCTTTATAATGATGATTATCAAAATCTTCCCTTATCTGTAATGTTAAAACCACGGTTACATGTCAAGAATTGATTTTTGTTTTTTTTTATTTTCTTAATTGCATTAACCGTGTTTTTCATATCCTATAAATTGTCGTATTAGTAATCTTTTCTTGACTTGAGCTCTTTATATATTCATGTTTGCTACATTTACTCTAACCCATGGCTTCCCTAATTTTCAGATGGTGGACAGAATTGATTTCATTTGTTGATACTTTTGTGTTCTTGCCTAAAGCATGTAGCAATCCTTCATTTGATTGCCTTAATGAGATTTTGTTTTTTTTTTTTTTTTTTTTTTGTTAAATTTTGTGGCAGGTATACTTAAATGATAATTCATGAAATATTGTTATTTTGGTGATTGTTTTCATTCTATTAGAAGAAAGACTTCTGTTTGTCATTTAATTCCTATATATCTTGATCATGGGGTTTACATATTCTTTTAAGCCAATGAGTTGAAAGATATTTCATTCACAGATAGCACATGTTGAATCCTGTTCGGACCTTTATGGCATTGTTGGCAAAAGTTTCTGGGTTGCTACTATGTGCGACAGCGCAGCCTTTGAGGGGTAGTCCTTTTTTACTTAACTGAAGCTGTTAACCTTCATCATATATTCTCATGACATATCACCAACTTAGGGGGCCATTGGGATCACTTTTGATGTTTTTTTAAAATTTTTATTTTGTTTTCTTTATGTTTTGAATTAAAATAAAATATGTTGAGTATGGTATAACATATCTATTTATTTTAAAAACACTCCAAATGTCATTTAGATGTTTCGAGTACTTTTAAAAATAAACTTATTGTTTTTAAAAATAAAAAAATATAAAAAATGTACTGAACAAATTTATTTTTAAAATAAAATCAAAAAACAATAGTGGTGTCGAACAAGCCTTATGCTACTATGGTTGCAATTATTATTCAGTACGCGCTTAAGTGTAAAATCATTTCAGATTTGTGTTATAATATTATCCTTTTTTTTTACAGGAAGCAGCTTGATGGAACACAGATTAGCATTCGGAGGATGTAATTCCTTGAGAAAACTTACTGTTCTTACAAAGTATTACTCGCTTTTTTTCTGATTTATAATTATAGATAATATGCAGGGGAAATAAGGGATTTGATTTTACGATTCAAACACCATCAAGTTCTTCTAGATGGGAAGATTATGATACAGAAATGGAAGCAGCATGGGAGGTATATTGCCTTTGTTGATAGAATGACGTAGATTTTATATCGAAAATTCGTTAACTTTATTCTGTCATGGTAAATAGAACTTCCATCACAAATCTAAAGTACAAGTTAGATGTCTATAAAAAATTATATATCTTGTGGAAGTTCAGGAAGTTGGATCGGCCAGCCACCTGCAAGATCTTGAAGAATTGAATTGGAAGACAATTTCGGAAACTCCTTGATTAGTTTTATTCTTTTCTTATTTGTGTTTTTTTTGTTTTTTTCAAACTTATTTCCTTTCCATATTTAAATTAGATATAATTGATAAGATTATAAATTAGGAGGGACCGGCTTCCCTATATTTGTATATATGTATGAATAATTGAAGGAAGAAAGGAGTTTTTTTCATCCCAAAGTTGGTTTATAACATGGTCTCAAATCTTTGAACAGCTGTCGGAAACCCAGCTTCCTCCTACCGTAGGAACTCCTGCAGCAGCCGCCAGAAATCTTCTTAGACGGCTTGCAAGCCCTCACTCACTCTTCCCTGCAGTCGGTACTCTTCCTGTAGGCCCTTCTCTGTTCATCTGTGCCGGTGGAATCCTCCTTACAGCTAGAATCCTCCCTGTTTCAGGTCCTCATCCATCGGATTCTCCCTGCAGGCCCTTCTCTGTTTAGTTCTTTCCACCGTGATTCTTCCTGCAGCAATAATCATCCCTGCTACAGGCCCTACTACGCTGTAATCCTCCTAAGTTCTCTGCAACAGCCTACTTTCTTTATGTTGGCAGCAGCAGTAGCAACGATAGTGGCCGATTCTATAGCCAGCTGCAGCCAACTTCCAACGTCCAGCCAACCTCCTGCAGAAGCACAACTAACTTTCTTCTTGCAACAAGCAGTAGCCCAAATATGCACAGGTTTTATGAAGACCAAGCACGGGATAAAGATGTTGAGTTCTATTAGGGAGTTCAAATATGAATCAGAAGATCAGGAATTATGTCCGAACAGTTCCTGAACTTTCTACCTTGATTACAAATCATAAACTTAATGGCTATAATGGTCTCAACGTGTGCTTATGTACATTTTTGGATAAGGAAAAGAGGAATATCTCATAAGAAATTGCACAGTTCTTGAGCTCATTAATCCTAACCATCGCACATGGAAGATTCAAAACCACTATAATAGGATAAAATTTTTTGCTTAACAAAATTGCCAAAGAAATCTGGGAGGTTGTAAGAGAAACATATTCCAACACTCTGAATATTGCGGAGTTGTTTGAGATCGAAACTAAACTTCATGGTCTTCATCAAGGAGAGCTAAGTGTCAGCCAATATTTTGAAACACCTTGATAACGCATTGGCTACAATTGGATATATTTGATACATGTGTGGAAATGTCTACACGGTGTTGTAATGTTTTAGTTCATCATTGAGAAGAAGAGAATTATTAAATTTCTAGGGGACTAACCAAGGAATTGGATGAAGTGAGAGGGAGGATCATAAGAATAAAGCCTCTTCCATCTACCCATGAAATTTTTGAGTAGAAAAAAGTGTATGATAACTGGAAGTGAGAGTTTACCAGTACTGAAAGCTTGACTCTATGTACTCATATTTTTTCCGATGACACGACTCAAGAAGAAATGTTTCGCATGTGACTATTGCAAGAAATTTGAGCATCTTAAAGATAAATGTTGGAAAATCGATGGAAAGCCTACAGATTGAAAACCTTGTCATAGAAGGAAAGATCAAGAGAATAAGGTTAATGTTGCTTCCACATCCGAAGGGTTGGCTAATGCAAAAGGAACAACTTGAAGTACTGAAAAACTCCTTAGGGGCAATTTGGAACAGCACCGCAGCCTCATGACATACCAATTTAATATTTTCTTCTCTCATCTTGTCAGCACTAGGAGATTTAGAATTTGAGTCATGGATTCAAGAACTTCTGATCAAGTCTAGAGGCATCAATATTTTAGTCAACTATCAAGAGATTTCTACATCTTGATCTATCAAACTTGCAGATGGATCACACTAAAAAATTGTTGGAAAAAGAGTTATGGAGCTCTCTCAGGATATTACTCTTTCCTTTCTTTTGTGTGTTCCACGGTTGGACTATAATTTAACTTCAATTAGTAATCTTCCACAGTTGGACTATAATTTAACTTCAATTAGTAATCTTACTCATGATATGAAATGTGTAACAAAATTCCTTGCAAAATCTTGTGAATTTTAGGTAGTGAATTTGAAAAATATGATTGGCAGTGTTTAAATGCATCAAGGCTTATACCTACTCAAGAAAAGTCTCTCTCTAAACAAACAAGTGATCCCACCTCCATCTTTTTCTCAAATCTCTGAGTATGTTGAGTCTGTATGTCGAAAATAAAGTCATATTATGGCATTGTCATCTTGGTTATCATAATCTCAATTATGTTGTAAAGTTGTATATTTATTTGTTTATCAACAAAAAATCTAGTTCTTTTCAATGTAGGATTTATCAATTTGTCAAACACGCTAGAAATGCTTATCCTATGACCTGTACAAACCCTCACACCCTTTTCTCATTGTTCTCAATGATATTTGGGGACCTTCAAAAGTAATAATCCTAAGTAGGGCTTGATGATTTGTCTCATTTATTGACGATCATACTAGAACTACTAGGGCATTTTTAATGAAGGAGAATTTTTAAACAACCAAATCTTTCAAACCTTCAATTACATGACTATCCAGGCTAAATTTCAATACAAAATTCAAATCCTCAAAACTGATAATACAAATGAAGATTTTAACTATGTTATTGGATCCTATCTTTCAAAAAAATGAAATCATTTATGTGAGTTCATGTATTAATACCCTACAACAAAATGGGTTAATTGAGAGAAAGAACATGTATCTTCTTAAGGTATCCCACTCAACTATGATTTCTCATCAAGTTCTAAAATATTTCTGTTGGGAAGCAGTTCTTATTGCAACATACCTTATCAATCGAATGCTTAGTCAGATATTTAACTTCAGAACACTGCTTCATATCTTTATTGATTCCTACCCTCACATCAGAGCTTTCACTTCTACTATACCACTTAAAATATTTGGATGTGTATACTTTGTTCGCATCTATTTAACAAAACTTGGCCCTAAATCTATCAAATGTATTTTCTTTGGGTATGCATTCTACAAAAAGGGTTATGTGTTACTCACATGCTATCAGAAAATATTACGAATCCATGGATGTTACATTTTTTGAGAATCAATCATACTATCTCAAATCTTATGTTCAGTTGGAGAGTACGAATGAACATTAATTTTGGGATGTACTTGATGACACATTCACTGCCTCACAACCTACTTGTCTTCAACCTTGCTCTCTTATTCTTCTTGAGGATATCCAACTAACCCAACATAAAGTCTATAATAAAATACTTTATGTGTATATAAGAAGGTAGAAAAACTTTTAGCATATGGAATACAACTTACAAAGACAAATTGGTTCAAAATAAAACTCGAGTCCCACTCACCTAAAATTTCGAGTGAGTATTATACTCATAAGTTATCCCCTTACACTTCTTGGTGTTGATGATAATGAAAGTTGTACTAACAATTCAGAAGTATGTAGTTTATTGGAAGCTATCCTCATCCTATAAAGCTTTTGTATCTAACATTGATAGTGTGCAGATTCTTAAATCCATTAATTCATGAAGCTCGTGAAAATCCAAGGTGGAGGAAAGCAGTTGAAGAGGAGATTCAAGCACTAATGTCACATGGATTCTTACTAAACTTCTTCATAATAAGAAGTTAGTTGGATGCGAATGGATGCTCAATATCAAGTACAGAGCTGGTGGTGGTAATAAGAGATTCAAAGCTTGCCTGGTTACAAAATATTTCACTCAAGTTTATGGGGTTGATTATCAGGAGATATTTCACCAGTTGCTAAACTGAACACTATCGGAGTTCTAGTAGTTGTTAACAAGGAGTAGGGATTGCATTAAGTAGACATAAAAAATGACTTTTTAAATTAGGATCTTAAAGAAGTGTACATGGTGATGTTACTAGGACTTGAGAATGATTCCAACGAACACCTAGTATGAAAACTCGTGAAATCTTTCTATGGGTTTAGGTAATCATCAATGGCATTGTTTGAAAGGTTTGCTAAAACTGTGAGATATAATGGATATTCTCAAGGCCAAGTCGATCATACACTGTTCATAAATCATACTTTGGAAAGTATGATTATTACACTGATAGTATATGTGGATGATATAATTATTACCGGTGATGGTGAAAGAAAAATTCTTAAAATGTTTTTCACTGAGTTTGAAATCAAAAACCTAGAAGCAATGAGAAATTTTTTGGAGATATCAAGGTCCAAGAAAGACATTGTTATATCATAGAGAAAATATATCATAAACGAGACATGGATGATTGAATGCAAACCTACTAATAGTTAAATGGATCTCAACAAGAAGTCTAATAGGGGAGAAAAAAGAAATATCTATGGATAAAGGAATATATCAAAGATCGGCAAGAAACTCATCTATCTGACACATATTAGGGCAGATATTTTATGCTTCGTCAATATTGTGAGTCAACACATAAATAACCCAAATGAAGGTCATTTGGTGATATCTACAAGATTATGAGGTTTTTCAAGAAGACTCCTAGTTATGGATTATTTTTTTAGAAAACTAAAGACAGAGAGGTAGAAGTCTACACTGATGCAAATTTGGGTTGGGGAACTCACTAACAAAGGGTCCATAACAAGTTATTGCTTCAATGTATGGGGGAATCTAGTTGCATGGAGAAGTAACAAGTAATGTAGAATCAGAGTATAGGTTACTCTCCTTAGGAATTTGTGAAGGGATCTGGATTCAGAAATTGTTAATAGAATTGGGGTGTATCTCAAATAGACCCATACAAATATTTTGTGACAGTCAAGCAGCTACCAGTATGGCTAAAAATCATGTGCATCATGACAGGACCAAACACATTGATGTTGATAGACACTTCATCTCGAAAAGGTTAATGGTCGACTTATACAGTTAAAATACATCCCAACACACCAATAAGTTGTTGATGTCTTCACCAAAGCTCTTTAAATACCTTTTCTGAGTTCAATACCAAACTTGGTCTCTATAATATCTATGACCTATCTTGAGGGAGAGTGTGGAAGTACAAGAAGGTTGGACCGGCAAGTCACCTACAAGATCTTGGATGATTGAATTGGAAGACAATTTTGCAAACTCTTTGATTTGTTTTATTCTCTTTCTATTTATGTTCTATATGTTTATTTTATAATTATATCTTTTTCATATTTAGATTAGGTATTTGGTAAGATTGTAAATTAGGAGGGATTGGTTTTCCTATATATGGACCTTATGTGTGAATAATGAAAGGAAGAAAGATTTTTTCCTCCCAAAGATGGTTTACAACATATCTACATTAGTTTAATCTATGAATAGCATCTTTAGAATATAAATATGCTCCATCCATTCTCGTCATACTATGCTTTTTTCTCTTTTAAATAATGGCCATTTAGTTTTTGATTTTTTTTTCCTCATATCGTTGGTTCAAGGAATAAAAAAACTGATTTCTAAGCTTATATCCGTGTATAAATGTATGTTGCTAATCCTTGTTTGGGAAAATAATTAGAAGTCAACTATCAAGGGTTTAATGTTATAATAGGTGATGCTGATGGTAATATAACTGATTTCCTTAGCTTTATCATGTTAACTATTGTTGCTGTTTCTAAAAATTTGAGAAGCAGTAGGCTCCAGCTAAATATGCTAAAAAATAAAAACCATTTTTTTCCTTCTGGTTTTATGTTGCTGATCAAGATAAAAAATACATTTATATTATGTTGGGGGCAATGCCTAATGGTCCATGTGAGCAATTTTAAATTGGAGGGAAATCAAATATTTTGGGGTATTTTAAATTTCTGAAAATTTTAGCATTTGGATTGCTTCAAACTGACAAAAAAAAATGAAATGCATGAACAAATAATGGAAAATTTACATGCACACATACCACCCTATTTCTATATATGTATTTACATGTCTAACACCCAAATTTCAATTTTTACATATATGCTACTTCACCTATGCATGGAAATGTATATTCTACTTTTAAAAGTTAAAATAGTTGTATTTTTTAAGAGATATGAAAGATTCAGACGGCAGACATGTAAAAAAATAAGATTCAGGTGTTAGATATTTAAATACATAAAAATTGGTTGGTATTATTTCAAAAATAATACAATACACTCCTTATGCTTCCATCCCAACATGCCTCTAGAGTTGAGTAAGTTTTGTATCCCTTCAGATATGGGTACGCTTTAAATAAATCTCGGAGTTCCTCGGTCTTTGCAGATCATTTGGAGAGGTAGGCTCCATATGCTCCTTGGATTTAAGTCAACTTTAGATATCTGTTTGAGTTTGATAAACTTTTTATACTGTCGGGTTTTGTTTACGCTTCCTGTACCCTTTGACTCCAGCAGTTAAGATAGCCTTCAATTCCTCATATGAGACTCACAGAGGCAGCACTCACTAAAATTGTCATATTTTTCTGTATGAATGGCTTGAATTCTATTTCTTTTGTATCTGCTTGTAAATTTTTATTTTTTGATTAGGGATTTAAATACATGCCACAAAATTCTTATGTATATGTATATCGGACACCCCTATATCTTTATATTTATTTATATAATATCCAGTGTTAGAATCACATTAAAACATTTGCATGAAATAGTATATTTTAGTTGAGATAAATGAAAATTAATTGTTTTTTTTTTTGACTTAAATGGTTATATTTTATATAAGTAAATATGATTGTTTAAGGGTTAAATATATAAATATATAAAGAATTTCGTTGGTATTTATGTAATGCCTCCTTGTTCTCTCTGCCTGATAATTCAGCTGTTCATGCTGAGGCCAGAGCTGAACAGGAAATTTTCTCCATTTTAAATTATCATATTTATCCTTTATTTTTTTTTCCTTGACGTCTTTTGTTTTTCTTATGAGATTGTTATCAAAATACAGGAGCTATGCACTGCCTATTGTGATGAGCTCTATGGCTCAAATGATCTCAGTTTGCTGGAGAATGTAAAAGATGCAATCCTCCGAATGACGTACTACTGGTAAAATTCTTATCATATGATGCAGCCTTTTTCTTTTATTTCTTTTATGAAAAGAAAGATTTACATACATACCTCTTAAATCCTATGTATTTACATATCTAACACCTAACCTTTAGTTTTTGCATATATGACATCTTACCCATTCATAAAAAATGTGCATTTCACATTTTAAAAGTTAAAACAGTGGTATTTTTCAGGTGACATGAAAGATTTGGGTGGTATAAATGTAAAAAGTAAAGTTTAGGTGTTATATATGCAAATACGTAGGAATTGGATGGTTCATATTTAAAATGCACCCAAAAATTAACATTATAACAAAATATCAAGACGATTATTCCGCTAAAAAATATCATAGAAAAATCGACAAATATCATTTTTCAAGATCATCACAATTTTTCCTGAATCAAATCAAACATGCAGGTTAAACTTCAAGCCACTAACTCGAGGGTCTGCTGTTGTTGGGTTGACGGTTATGTTAGGATTATTCATCGCGACCAACATGGAAGTAACCGCGAGTATCCCTCCCGGCGTCCAGGTGGACTGGGAAGCCCTCCTATCCCCAAACCCTCAGTTATTCATCAACACCATAAAAACATGGCTATATCCATCTCTCAGATATAGCGTCGCTTGGAAAGAATATCCGGACGTGGCTTCAACTTTCTCAACAACTGGATCAGCAGTTTCTGCCCTGAGTAATTATTTTTTATCATAAAAGGTAAGTCCAGCCATTTGTTTTTATTTTGTTCTTTGGGGAAATTTACATGAGTGCCACATAATTCTTATGGATTTGCATATCTAAACCGAAAGTTTGATGTTTACATTTACAACATGTTATAAACCTATCCCTGAGAAGGTGTGTTCGGCTTTAATAGAGTTAGTAAAGTGCTATTTTTGATATGATGCTAGAGATTTGAGTGTTATGAATGTAAATATTTTGAAGTATAGGTGTTAGATATGTAAATACATAAGAACTGCATGGTATGTATGTAAAGGCCCCCATTTTTTTTTTCTTATAATCTTTTGTTAAGGGAAGTTAATTACATACCACACAATTCTAATGCACTTAAACATTCATATTTACATGCATATCACTCAAATTATTAACATCACATCAAAAATACCATCATTACTATCTTTTAAAAAAATCTGAAATACACATTTTCATGCATAGATTTATGATTTATTAAGTGTAAATATCAAATTTTGGGCGTGAAATATGTAAATAGATAAGAATTGTGCGTTGTATATGTAAATTTTCTTTTCTTTTATTTATTTTTTATTTAAATTAAAATATATTTAATATGTTAAAACATGTTAAATCATCTTTAAAAATACTCGAACTAACTAAAAATTATTTTGAGCATTTTTCTAAATAAGTTGATTCCTTTTAAAAATAAAAATTAAAAATATATAAAAAAATACTCTAAATAAGTAAATATTTAAAATTAAAAAAAAAATTTGACTGAGTCCCAAACAGGCCTTCAACATCTCTCTTTCAGAGCTCTGAACTTTCCTTATTTCCAGGTCATACATGCTGCTCTCAGCCATTCTTTGCCCTGGGAAAACCATGACTTGATTACAGCACTTCGTTGGGGGAAGCTATTTTCTGTGTGAATTATAAAGTGCAAGGTTCAAAAGTGGTACTGTTCTATAACCCTAAACTTAAATGCATTTGTTTCTCTGTGTTTTACTAATTTATTTTTGTATGTTATACTCCTCTTGTTATTAGCCATTGGCTTTAGGGTATTTGTTTTATTTGGTTAAGGTTTTTGTTTTGCTTGTACTGTTCTGCTTTGAAAGTTACTGCTCAAGATCTACTTTGAATATTTCCTTTCCAAAAAACATATAATAAATTTTATTTTCTTAGGGAAATTTACGTACGGCTGGTGATTCGGTTAGGAGATTAGATCTTTTAGATTCGACTTATATTGAGAAAAGTAGAGGTAGACCTGTAAAGACTTCGCAATACTGTATAAAAAATGATCGTAGTTTGACTAAAATGAATGTATGACACTCACTAGGACACAATGAAGAGAAAGGATTCATATAACAGACCTCACTTAGTGGAATAAAGGATTGCTATTGTTGCTGTTGTTGTTGTGAAATTTACATACATACCGCCCAATTTTTTTGTATTTAGAAATTTACCTAAAATTTGGTATGACGAATTTTGATATTTGAGCGAGAATTTAAAAAATGGATGAAATGGGGTGCTAGATTTATAAATAACAATGTTTCGGGTGTTATGTATGGGGCACTTCTCAGTAACAAGTATATATCCAATTAGGGGTATTTACATATATACGACATATTTTTTGCATTTCTAACACCAAAATCATTATTATACATATCACTCATATTTTTAGCATCATATCATAAATCATATTCCTTTTAAATTGAAGTGCATCTTTTCATGCATATATTTATGACATTAAAGTATTAACAAGAATAAATATCTAATTTTGGGCGTTAGGTTGATACTTGTGTGTTATGCATGTAAATTCTTCAAATAATTTCATGTGCTAATGCATTAACTTGGCACTAACTAGGGCTGTCAAAACGGCTCGTTGTTCGCGAACAGCTCGTGTTCGGTTCGTTTTGGCTCGAAATACTACTAATCAATTATATATATCTTTGATGAGTAGTATGTTTTAAAAATTTAATTGACTGCAAGGCTACAAAGATTTATAATTAATTAAAAGTATTAAAAGTATTAATGAAGAAAATAAAATAAAAATTATTAAAATAAATTCAAATGATGTTTTAAATCTTACCCCAATCCGTAACATCTTATGGCTACGTAATTAGGGTTGTCAAAATAACTCTTTGTTTGTGAACGGCTCGCGTTCGGCTCCCTAAGCAAACAAGCCGAACACGAACACACTTTTTGAACTCGAAATACAAACGAGCCAAACACAAGCTCAGCCTGGGCTCGCTCGTGTTCAACTGCAAAAATTTATGTCATGGCCACTTTTTTACAGTAACGATTTCTGCCATGAATCGACAATGATATAGAAATATAGGAATGACTATGAATGAGGATATTTTAAGTTGGATTTAATCAGAGTAATTTTTTAGAATTATTGAATTTATTTTATAATAAATAAATTACAATAACTGAATATTTAATTTATTTTGTTAAGTATTTTATTTATTTTAGATAAACTCAATGAGAAAAAAAAAACTATTTTGATTGGACTTGATTAAAATATCCTAGCCTAGTTTTTTTCACAAAATGCAGACGCAACTAGCTCCGCCATGAGGTCTGTAGTAGTAGACTTGAATATGTGATTCCCTCTTCATGAGCTTATTTCGAGTACTGTTGAGATCAGCTCGAAATTGAATCAAATGGATTGAGATTGGATTAAAATCGGCTCGTGGCCTATTACGTTTGATTTCAAGCCAGCTCGGCTTATTTGAATCAAGTTGGCTCAAATTTCAGCTATTTGGACCTGTGGCAGCTCAATTATGTTCTATATGGCTCGAAATTGAATCAAGATGGCTCAAATTGAGTTATTTTGAATCCAATCCAGCTCAAAATTGCCCTATAGCTTGTTATGCTTAATTTTACTAAGCACTACATATAATTTGTAAAAATTAACAAAAAAAAAATTTTTTTGTGAGTCAATCTTGAGTCAGTTCAAGTTGATTCGTGTATGGCTCGAAATTGGCTAAAAAAAAATTGATGCAAAATTTTGGCTCATAATTTGGCTCGTTTACTTCAATCAGATCTTGATCTGAACTAATATTGAATTAATTTTCTAACGATTAACAATCTTTCAGTTCAACTCTTTTAGGATAAGCTCATAAGGACATTATAAAGTTAAGATTTTGACAAATACAGTGAGAATTGGAGGTAGTGGATGGGAGATTGTACTCTGCTCATGTTATAGTTATATATATATATATATATAATTCTGAACCCAGTGAGGTTTTTTTTTTTTTTTTTTTTTTTTTTTTTTTGATTTAATATCCAATTTGATTTTTAGAAGCATACTCCTAGTAGTGTTGGAGAGATTAATGGTAACTTATTTTTTTCATGTATTTTGGAACAAGAAGGATTGAGAGTAATAATGTTGCTAGAGGCTAGATAAAACAAGAATGATATATAGAGGATGATAATACTTCTTTAAATATAAGAAGTTAAGCCTCTTTTTGTCCTTTATTTTATTATTTAAACTTAAAAAGAATACCATATCGTTAATAGCTTATAAGTTTTCTTTAGGAATTTCTCAAGATGGCTCCATGCATGATGGCAAGCTCTCTAGCCTTTTGATGGCTCTGATGCCATCTAAATTGCATGTATCCTTCATATATAGAGATAAATCTACATGCCAAATAGACGTAGGTTAGTTGATCATATCCCAGACCATGGATATATTATGGTTTCATCTTTCATTATTAATGGGTGATACAAATTTTGAAGATGTCTCTATCATAATTGATGGAACTTGTTTGTCTATGTATGGGAATATACCCTCTTATTTAGAGGAGACTCAAATAACCTTTAGAGGTGCCTTATATAAGCTTTATATCATCCATCATGTCTAGCTTTTAATGTTTTAATCATTACACTTCACTTCAACTAAGTCTAATTCTCAAGCTAATTAAAGAAGGTTACATGACTGACCTTGTCACTGCTATAAGGCATTCTTTAGATTCATCAACTTTTATCTCAAGCTAAGGAGTGTTTAAGCTTTCAGAACACTCTAGGTTGAGTGAGAGTTTTTTAGCAATCTATCTTATTAGGTCTTATATTTTGTTATTCCACATGAATTAACAATAAAATTAATCAACGGAACTTACTATGTGTATTAATCTGCACATTCTTTAGCATGAGCTCGATTTTATTGATCGTGCAATTTCCATTCTTTCTAAACTCACTTTCTTCGTCATACTTAATATTCTTACCCAACAATTGCTCTCTCGATGTATAATTCCTAATACCATAACTATTAAACATTTTATGTCCCCTTATGAATGCACGCCTACCAATTTTTCATTGGGTTATAGTTAGCTTGATTTTATTGGCCAATTAAATAAATTTTAGTCTACCTAGTTCTTTAGTATAGTTATATGATTTAGTTGAATATTATTCCACATAAATAGCATTAGGCTACCTTCTTCTTTATGTTATCATTCTTCACATCTTGCTTTTAAGTATTTTTTCAATTTTTTATCTAGTTTTAGCTTAGATTGAGGTCAACAAACTAAATAATGAGCCAAAAGCTATATATATA